GGAGCGCCGCCGCGCTTCCCAAGCGGCGCACTATCCAGTGCGCCACCGGGCCGGCCCGACTATTATTCTTTTTAAAAACCCATGCCCTGGTAGTTTTAAGACTGAGATGCCGAAGTAATATTTAAATGTCATTTTGTACTGTAAATTATATGTGGTGTTACTTTGATTTAAGAGTTCGTAAAATTTTATATGTATTTTTTACACTAATTTATTTAAAATATATATTTATTGAACATCTATGTGTGCTAGACACTGTGCTAAGGCATTGGGGGAAATTTGAAAATAAAATCCTTCCTGCACTAAAGAGGTTTATATTAGTAAATATAATAAATATATACAGCTATGTAGGAACATCATTATAATGCCATATATTGTAATAGAAGTAAAAAAAAAAGAGCTGCATGAGCACAGAGGAGGGAGGCTTGGCATAGAGGTGACAGTTACAGTGTTTCTTGATGCTGTCCTAATTGGCCCCCTCATTTTTCTTCAAACATGCTTGCAGTTCCTTTCTCCATGTCTTCGTTGTCACCACAGTCTCCCTCAGGATGCCCCTTCCCTTCCTTTACGTCCATCAGAATCCTCCTCATTCTTTCAAGGCCACCATCAGTCCACTCCAACCAAAGGTGTTAAGAGGAGAATGATTACTTATGTCCAGTCAATTTGACATTTGCCTTGTTTTCTTGGCTGCCATTTTATCTGCATGATCTTCCCAAACTAGAGTGTGGGTTCCTTGAGAGTGGGCACGGTGTCCTCTGTCTCTTTGTGTTTTCTGTGATACTAATCATATTGCCCTGCATGTTTCAGTTGTTCAGTAAATGTTTGCAAGTTGATGTGTGGAATCTATAGTAACCATAAGTAAAATACCCTTAACCTTTACCTTGCCTTATTACAGAATTTATTATTCAAAGTACTGTCAGCTTGGCTGAATGGGTTTTGTTTGTGGTTTTTTACAGGGGCTACTGTTCCCGTAGACAAAGACGTCTCCGGAAAACACTCAACTTCAAGATGGGGAATAGACACAAATTCACAGGGAAGAAAGTAACTGAAGATCTTCTGACTGATAATAGGTATCGACTACTCAGTGCTAGGTGCTAAATGCCTCTCGCTAATGCATTTATTGAGCAATTATATGTGCCAGACATTGTACCAAACTCTTTATCTCATGTGACTCTCTTAGCAGCTATGTGGGATGAGCATTTTTTTGCTATTTCTGTGTTCTAAGGTGAGGAAACAGACTCAAAGAGGTTCAGTAGTTTGTTCAAGAACTGTGTTCTGTATATGTTAAAGCCAGTAATTAGAATCTAATCAGTTATTAGGTAAATTTTCTAGGATGCAAATTCCAATGTCTTTAAGTGCTTAAATCAATATACCTTAATGAAATATGGCTGTGTGTAAATTATTACAGAAGAATTCTGTATTTCAGTGCTTAATGCACCAGTTCTTAACATTTGCTGAAGGATTAATCTGTTAAGCAACATGTATTGAAGGTCTCCAGCTAAGTTCCCCAAACTTCGGCTTATGGGCCAAATTGTCCTCCTGTCACCTGTTTGTCTAAAAAAAGTTTTATGGGAACACAGCCACACTCATTCATGTAGGTATTGTTTGCAGCTGCTTTTGTGCTACAACAGCAGAGTGGTTGTGACAGAGACCATATGTCTTGCAAAGTCAAAAATATGTACCATTGGGCCCTTTACAAAAAAGTTTGCTGCCCCATGGTCTAGTATGTAGGTAGGGCTCAGCCAGACACTGTACTGGTGTAGAAGAGGGAGAGGAGGCATAGTTCTTGATCCTTGTTGGCTTGTTGAGAGATGTTGGTCAAATGCAAAACCAGGAACACTACAAGATAGCAAAAGTGCCATATTGTATGTCATTTTACTGTTAAGCATTCTGAAGTCTTAGAAAGGAGAGGTTAGTGTAGGGGTACTTGATGGGGAAGTTAGTAAACCTGCATGGAAGGAGCTTGACCTTGAAAGATTTGTGAGAGGGAAGAACATTCTTTTTTTTTTTTTTAAAGATGACCGGTAAGGGGATCTTAACACTTGACTTGGTGTTGTCAGCACCACACTCTCCAAAGTGAGCCAACCAGCCATCCCTATATGGGGTCCAAACCTGTGGCCTTGGTGTTATCAGCACCACACTCTCCCGAATGAGCCACGGGCCGGCCCAGAGAGGGAAGAACATTCTTTGTGTTAGGGGAAACAGCATGCCATGGTGTCTGTGAGTGCAGTCTAGGAACCTGAAGCTCTGGACAGTGGTTAGCTGCTACTCAGGCAGGCAAGAGGCTGTGATCTTGGTGTGTGGGACACAGTCAGGAAACTAGAGCATGGATACCATGATGGGGTGTAGCAGGATGTAATGATTAAATGTGATGAGGTCCAGTTAGGAAAAGTCAGAAATTAAGAAATCTGAACTCTCTTATGGTAGCAAGATCCTTTATTTTGAAGAGACAAGGTTAAGGTAAAGTTTAAGGAGATTAATCAAGGTAGTAGTTTAAAGAAAGTTTCACCAGGATGAGGGTAAATTAGTTAATTTATTGGGAACTTAGTAAGTGCCAGGCTCTGGTCTAAGTGTGTTATATGTATTTTCTACATGGGAGAGTGAGGCACAGAAAAGTTAGTATTTTTTCCAAAGTCACATAGCTAGTAAGTGGTGGCACTGGGATTCCAACCCAGGCTTGAACCCTGTTCATCCCCATTTCATTATATTGCCTCTTAAGGACATGGTTTCTACCTGGGTTGGGATGAAGGCGGTGTTGATTCAAAGGTGAGGCCAGATTGTGTACCTAGACTCCTCTGTTTCACACAATTTAGGAGGGGTAGGTCAAGATTCTGCATTTGCCGAGTTTGGGGTGATAGAGACTGTTCACGGTGATGTGTCTAGTAGGTGATTAGAGACTGAGCTGAGATGAGAGATGCTGATTCGGGAGTCATAGCTGATACCGTGAGAAGAGTAGTTCTGAGGTGGGTAAGGGAGAGAGGATGCAGAGAAAGTTGAGAGGCTGTTTTAGTCCGTTTTGTGTTGCTATAACAGAGATACCTGAGCTGGGTAATTTATAAAGAACAGAGGTTTATTTGGCTTACGATTCTGGGACAGCTGCACCTGGCAGGGGCCTCAGGCTGCTTCTACCCATGGCAGAAAACAGCAGGCAGCCTGCAGGTACAAGCAAATCACAGGGTGAGAGCAAGCAAGGGGTGGGGGAAGGTACCAGGGTCTTTTATATAAACAGCTCTCATGGGAACTAATAGAGTGAGAACTCACTCAGGTCCCCTGCCCCCAGGGAGAGCATTAACCCATTCATGAGAGATCCACCCCCATAACTCAAACTGCCACACTGGGGATCAAATTTCCACATGAGTTCTGGGCGGACAGTACATCCAAACTCCATCAGAGGCCAAAGATTGTGCCTCGCAGAATATGTCTGACTCCAATGCTCCTGGCCTTTATTGTTCCATTCTCCCATTTTCTCTCTCTGGTCTAGATATTTGCTTCTGGTTCTGATGGATGCTGAAAGAGCCTGGAGCTATGCCATGCAGCTCAAACAGGAAGCCAACACTGAACCCCGAAAGCGGTTTCACCTGTTATGTCGCCTGCGCAAAGCTGTGAAGCATGCTGAGGAATTGGAGCGCCTGTGCGAGAGCAGTCGCGTGGACGCCAAGACCAAGTTAGAGGCTCAGGTGAGGGTCTTCACAGCAGTCTTGCTTTATGGTGGAGATCAGAGGTGCAACTTTAAAAAAACAAAACAGAACTAGAGTTAAACAGAGCAGGGATACACTTAATAGTCAGGAGAGGCAAAAAACATCCTGATTTTGCTTTTAAAAGATCAAATTACCATCTCTTTTTTTTGTTTTTGAACTCTTGGCTTTTTATAATTAGCTCTAACTTTTCAAGAAAGGTCGAAGTTCTTTTGATATATAGATGAAAATCTTGCATCTTATACCTGAGAAAGTTCACAGCATAATAATATTTTTTAAATGAATTTTTTTTTTTAAAGAGATGATATATATTGCAAGGTTTAATTCAACCTTTGCTGCTTATGTTATAGCCCAGAAAGTGGTTGTTAATTAAAATGAAGAAAACAAATTTACTTTATTTAAAGTTCACTCCTAGGAGGTAAATGAATCATGACATATTACCTGTGTATTCCATTTTATTAGTTAAATACATTTTTCTCTTTTAAAACCAACCTGAATATGTCCACATTCTTGCTGTCACAGTTAGAAGCCAGTAGAGGAGGATGAGCTGGAGTGCTGCTGCTTTGGTGCTGAAGTTCTTTTTTATCCCCTCACAGGCTTACACAGCTTACCTCTCAGGAATGCTGCGTTTTGAACATCAGGAATGGAAAGTTGCCATTGAGGCTTTTAACAAATGCAAGTAAGTCCTCAGGTCCAAAGACTGTGACCAGTTTTGAATTTAGATGGTCAAATTCAAGCTTCAAATGGTTTGTTTCTGTCAAAGTTAGGGTGTTTTTTTTGTTTTCATTTTTCCTATAGAAATGTTATTTATTCTATTTCATCTTTAGAACATGCCAGTTCTGGTAGTTGGTAGAAGAGCTTCACAGGAACTGGCTGGTTAGTTCAGCTGGTTAGAGCACAGCTGTATAACACTGAGGTCAGGGGTTCGGATCCCGGATCTTGTACCAGCCAGCTGCAAAAAAAAAAAAGCTTCACAGGGCTGTATTTTGTTTTTAGCCACTGTGTTCCTTGTGAGTTTATTTTCTTAAAATAAGAGCTGTAAAACCTGACGTTTCTTTCCTCGCAGAACTATCTACGAGAAGCTAGCCAGTGCTTTCACAGAGGAGCAGGCTGTGCTATACAACCAGCGTGTGGAAGAGATCTCGCCCAACATCCGCTATTGTGCATATAATATTGGTGAGCAGGAACACGGCATTGCACCCGGCCTGAGGCTTGCAGGAATTCATCTCAGAAAGCCTAGAGAATTTATGTAACTTCTTTCTCCTTCCTTTGCATCTATCCTCGGGCTGAGTTTTGGTTGATGACAAAAGAACTGTTGAAGTAGCCCTGTGCAAAATTACAGAAGGCAGTTCCTTTGCTTCTGTTTCCATCCTGCCATCTTCTTTTTTGTTTTTGGTTGGTTTTTTTTGGCAGCTGGACTTTATGGGGATCTGAACTCTTGACCTTGCTGTTATCAGAACCACGCTCTACCTAGTGAGCTAACAACGAGTTCCCAGCCATCTTCTGTACTGCCCAAGAGCAGTGTTGAGTTTTTTTGGCAGCTGGACTTTATGGGGATCTGAACTCTTGACCTTGCTGTTATCAGAACCACGCCCTGCCTACCTAGTGAGCTAACAACGAGTTCCCAGCCATCTTCTGTACTGCCCAAGAGCAGTGTTGAGTCTTCAGCTGAGTTCAGTTTTTACTTTTTAGAGCAGTTTTAGTTAGGTTCACAGCAAAATTGAGAGAAAGATAGAGATTTCCCATGCACAGCCTCCTACATTATCATTATTCCCCACTAGAGTGGGTGTATTTGTTACAGTTGATGAACCTATGCTGACACATCATTATCTCCCAAAGTCCATAGTTTAGCCCAATGTAAACAGTGGACTTGGGGAGATAATGATGTGTCAGCATAAGTTTGGACAAATGTATCATGATATGTACCCATCATTGGGGTATCATACAGAGTATTTTCTCTGCCCCACCCAAGTTTATTCTTTGTAAAGGACTTGTCTTCAGAGAATACTATGGATTCACTGAAATGTACTTGTGCAGGAGGAAGAGCTCTTTTAAGTCTGAGTTGAATATAGTGGTTCTCGAGAAAACAAACCAGACCCTTGAAGATTTTCCTCTCTCTTTCAGGGGACCAGTCAGCTATCAATGAACTCATGCAGATGAGATTGAGGTCTGGGGGCACTGAGGGTCTCCTGGCTGAAAAATTGGAGGTAATCGAGCGTATATGTTTTTGTGAAAAGTCTTTGGTTTGAAAAAGTCTGGAAGTAATTCATAATCCTGTCCCCCAAGAATAATTGCTATTAATATATGCATATTTATATCTACATCTATATTTATAACAAAAAACTTTAAGTATGTAACTTTTTAACCTCATTACATTTATTTGCTAAGCAAGTAATATAGACTCATAGAAAAAGTAATCAATATAAGACTGGGGAAAAAAATAAAATCATTTGAGTTACCAAACAGTGGTAACCACTTATTAATAATGTGATAAATATCCTGCAGACCTTTCTATGTATGTGTAGAAAAAAGGAAAATATTTTTAAAATGGTATCTTAGTCTATACTGTTTAAGAACCTGCTTTTTAAATATAATATCACATGTGTTTTTTCCACTTCAATACATATATGTCTACACCATCATTGTTCTTTTGTTTGTTTGTTTTTGGCCACTGGCCAATACAGGGATCAAACCCTGGACCTTGCTGTTATCAGCACCATGCTCTAACCAACTGAGCCAGCCCAGAACACCATCATCTTTTTGTGGCTGCATGGTACTCCATCATACAAAAGTCTATTTTTTTTTTTCCTTTTTGTCTTTTTTTTTTACTGACAGGTAACGGGATCGCAACCCTCGGTGTTGCGCCCGTACCGGGGACCGGCAACGGGATCCCAACTCTCGGTGTTGTGCCCGTACCACGCTCAGCCAGTGAGCGGGAACCGGTCTCCACATGGGATCCGAACCCACGGTGGGAGCACCGCTGTGCTCCCAAGCGGCGCACTCTCCAGTGCGCCACCGGGCCGGCCCTGGCAAATA